GCTATTTATCACAGACTCCCTCATAGTACTGGATGGTGTTGTATTAGTAGTAGGTATAGTATCAGCTAAATTCTTACCAACATTTGAGAAATAATTATTAAAAGCCTGACATATATCTCTAGTGTTTGTTATCTCAAGATTATCTTTAATAATTTTTGTCGGTATATTGTTACCCCTGGGCTTCAAAGTAAAAAGCTGTTTGATACCTTTCCAGATATTTTTAATATTCTGATTAGTTTTTGCAAAATAATTTTCGTAATACGTTCTTTTGCTAATTCGTTGCAGATGATTTAATTTGTTTCGGTAATGCTTAAATTTGGACTTATAATAGTTATTTTTTGTCATTAGATATTTCTTATATAATCTGTTTTTAACCTTAATTGAATTTCTAATACCAGGAGTTATCCAAGGTTTAGACATAGTTTTAATCTCTTTTCTAGTTTTTCTAACTAAAGGTACATGTTTATCAACAATTTCCATAGTTTTAGAGTGAAAAATTTCAAAAGTATCATTAATATTGTTATTTCTTTGTAAAATACTATGCCATTCCAAACTAGACATATATGCTTGAAAGGAATCTTTATTAAATTTAGAGTAATCTCTCTTATAATATTTAAAATTACCACTAGTCAGATTGGATATCTTGTTGACAATCAAGAAGTTTGGAAGGTGGTCAGTAATATCACATAGTATATTACCACTAATAACAATATGTTCCAAGGAATTAAAGAAAATATTATCAATAAGAGTTGCTGAATGATCTGTAATTCTTGTAGGTTGTAAAATTTGTGGATGAAAACAATAGGATCCCAAAGTGTTAATAAAAGTATCAGTATGTGTCTCAAAATTTAAAAGATTTATATTAAAATCACCCATTAGAATACAGTATTTATTTTCACTGTGGATTTTTTCAATAGTATTGAACAAGTTAAAGTAGCATTAATATCAGCAGTTGGGTGTCTATAAACCACTCCACATATGATATTATGTTGATGATTATTCTGAATCTCAATCCATAGGGATTCATGCTCATTTTCTGAACAACGCAAATCTTCCCTCTTGCTAAATACAATATCATTATTCACATAGAAACCAACACCACCTGCATTTGATAAAGTGGCTTGAGAAATAAAATTATATCCTAGTAAATCAAGATTGATGATGGGGTCATCACCATATTTAATTTTAGTTTCTGATAAGCCAATTATAGAGAATGAATGGCGAAGATCAAACAATAAGTTGCACAGAGGATCAAAATTTGCTGATAAACTTCTAATATTTAAATGAAGAGCATTTGTTACTTCTTCACTTGGTTTAAAGTTAATAAATTTATGCTTCCTTGTGGGAAACTCGTTTGAGCTGCAACTTGTTATGTGCATGCATAAAAGCGGCAAACAATGAATTGTATAGCATTTATACAACAAAGTATGTGTTTTCAGCTGCAAACATGCTATTCAGCAGTTAAACAGCAACAAGCATGTTTACAGTAGGGGTACCACATTAACGTTTATGGTCCCAACAATGCTGTTTGAGGGTTACTACGTTCCAGATTTTTTACACAGCTAATTATTAATGAGAATCAAAAATGCAATCTAATTGATGAATTTTGACACTTTAATTAATAAATAATTAATATTGGTTAAAAAAGGTCATTATTTATGGACAGGGGAGGGGGATAAAGGGGTGCACAGGTATAAATAAATGACTACAAGGCGGAGCAATTAATTTTTTTTCAAGGTAATGGAGGGGGGTCAAAAACCTGGGGTTGAGCCTGGTTTCATGGATGTACCAAATGGCCATTTGGTTGTAAATGTTGCAAGTAAGTCATGGTCACTGATGTGAAATTGTCTGGATCTATCTTGTCTTTTGTGTGCTGTATAGTGTATACAGACTCATCTTCAGTGCTTCACTGATTACGGAGATAAATGAACAACGTATTGTTGTTATTATGTTTTACTGTTAATTGTAGAAGAGCTGCTAAAGAATAGCGTTCAAAGAAACTAAATATTTGTTAATATGTCTTTTCGGCTTTTATACAGTATTATGTTATATTTATAGAGTCATGGTGTAAACATTGACAAAACATTAAAGCCAACAAATTTTAAAATCAATGTTATTTGTCGTTGATTATTACTATTAGTATATATGATGAATCATTTATACAGATTCATACTGCACCATTCTGCAAGTATGTTTTTGTTGATTTTAAATATCTTATCAGTTCCATATTCTGATATTTTTATTTAGCACCATAATGCCTGGGAATCTCCATTTGATGAGTACAATATCATCTGGTGACTGGTGTTAGCCAGAGTAAAGAATTAAAGTGACACCACAGGCATTGTACGGTAATTTGGTAAAAATACTTTGAATACCTAATTGTCTTTGAGAGTACTGATTTATAAAAAATGAAAATGGGAGGAAAGGGGGGGGGGCAGAGAGAGAATGCTCTAATTCTACATCAAACTTATTAATTCCCAACACAACAGTTGACTGATGTATGATTTCAATGGTCCACTGGGTAATCTAGACTTTATTCTAAAACAGCCATAACGATTCCCACTAACTATTACAGCTGAGTAAAAATCTAGAATGTGGCTATTGTATTTTTTGGGGGCACCTTGTATAACATGTACGTAATTCGATCTGTGTAACATACAATCCACCAGCAGATACTGTCCGAGAAGAACTTTTGCGATGCTGGTTACAGAACACCTGACACTGTAATACAGCAGTGTCTGCAGACCTGTCAAGGTGATGGGAATAAAATATGGGAGATTACAATATTTCTGGTTTTTCTGCATGCAAAGCAAGCTGGAAACAACTACAAGCCTGTAACAAGATCTGCTGCCCAGCCTAAGGAAATACTGTGACCTCCAGCCATAGAAAAATTAGTAATGATCTGTGCCAGCATAGGTAGTACCAAAACCACCAGAAAATTGAAATAGATAGGAATTCATCTATTTGTCCATTAGCATAGGTCCAAGAAAGGCTGGAATTATTTCCAGGTTTGAATTGCAACAATGTAATTGGGCAAACAATGACACAAAATAAAATTCCAAACTTTAGCTCTTAAGGTGGACAAACTTACTGTAAATTTATCTGGCTACACAATTTCAGGTGGACAGAATTGCATCATATCATAGGCCCAAACACAACAGATGTGATTCAGCAGCACAATGCAAAATTTAAAAGATATTTAGACCAAATAACTCAAAACATTATATAGTGAATGCCAAGGCATTTTTTAATACCATGGACTGGTGAGGCATTTGCCCCACTGCACCCCCTTCCTCTGCCCCACCACTGAAGAATCCTTAAAAAATGCACTGGTGAATGCTAACATCAATTTTATATTGATAGGTGGTCCATAGGTGGTAACTCCGCACACAAAGAGCCTTCGCTTTATTTTTCAGGTACAGTAGTTGCATCCCAATCAACAAAAGCTTGTTGAAATAAAGGGCAATATATTATAATACGCTGAATCTCCTGTTTTTCAAATATGATGTCATATAGGACCCTGGGGACATTTTGCCCTGGGATCCAAACCTTGGCAGCCTTGCCTGAAAGTTCATGGAACGCCTCTACATGTTTCAAAACGACTTTAATCCCACTAAGCAGTGCAAATTGCATCCAAATACACACTGCTTTATTATTGTACTTTTGTCTGATGCCGTGATGATTTACTCCGAAAATGGAATGAATGGAATGGAAGGAAGGAATGGAATGGAATGGAATGGAATGGAATGGAATGGAATGGAATGGAATCGACCCATATGTCATTTTTTGACCATCACAATTCTGTAATATCTTTCCCCAAAGGGCATGATATGGCATTTCAGAGATTCTAAATTTCAAAATTTTCAGGGGGAGCATGCCCCCATACACCTCTAGGGGTCTTGCACCATTGGTACTCGATAGTTGTGCAATCACATCATCATCCCCAAGCAGGCCTGAGGACGAGGATATTATGGTGCATTCGACTCCTGAGGATCCTTGTAAATTTAAAAAATTTTTCCCAGCATCTTTGTTTTTTTCTGATCACACCTTTTCGGGCAAAACAAATCCACACACCGCTAATGTATAGACCCAAGATATGCCCCTGCCTTTGTAACATGAAACCCAACCCCAGGCTTCACGCACACTGTTCCTTAGTTGACTTTATAGTTATGTTGGTTGTTATGTTAACCTTTTAAAACCAGGGTGAAAGTTATTGGTCAGTGAAAAAAAATTGTACCGCATTGTTCAGTTGCATCCGGTGTGTCTCGATTTGACTATAACCCACAACCTGTGATGACTGCAGCAGAAATTCCAGTCAAATGCATGGGACAAACACAATTTTCCAAATGCCGCAACTCACTTACTGAATGTACGAACATCGTGAAATGTTTGGTATAGACTAATCTGAACATGAAGATTTAAATCCTGCTAAATATGAAGATGAAACATCAATAACGCGAACTTGGCTCGAATAATCGGTCGTTTGCAGGCTTTAATTCTGGTATTTATATACCAATTATATTAATATACAAACATTTAAAAAAATTGTAAGTCATTTAATTAAATACTGTAAACTTCACACGTTAAATTTTTTCATTGTCTTAATACTCAAGGCCAAGGGCCTGCAAAGTTTGGCGAGTGTTCCCTCTGCGCAAATATTTCAGTCCTGATTTCTGTCGGCGCATTTTCAACAAAATCTTACAAATTCCGCGTATTTTTCATGAATTAATGCATATATTTCGTCTATTTTGCATTGAGAATAAGCTGCATACACAAGAACACAATTTAGAACTGTTAAAATGACTGC